TCTGAAAAATATCATTGGAATTTTGTTAGAGATTGTATTGAATCTGTAGATTGCTTTGTGTAATATGGATGTCTTAACCATAGTAGTTCTTCCAGTCCGTGAGCTCAGAATATCTTTCCATTTATTTGTGTCGTCTTAAATTTATCTCATCAGTATATTGTAGTTTTCAGTGTACGAGACCTCTTTGATTAGATTTGTTCCCAAGTATCTTATTCTTTTTGATGCTATTGTAAATGGGATTGTTTTCTTTATTTTCTTTTTTGGACTGTTCATTGTTAGTGTATAGAAACAACTGATTTTTGTGTGTTGATTTTGTAATCTTGCAACTTTGCTGGGGTTTCTGTGTGTGTGTGTGTGTTTATGTAATCTTTAGGATTTTCTACGTATCAGATCATGTCATTGGCAAACAGATGATTTGATGTCTTCCTTTCTAATTTGGATGCCTTTTTTTCCTTCTTTTGCCTAATTGTCTGGCTAGGACTTCCAGTATTATGTTGAATAGAAGTGGTGGGATTGGGTATCTTCATCTTATTCCTAATATTAGAAAAAAAGCTTTAAACTTTTCACCATGGGTATGATATTAGTTGTGAGCTTTTCATACATGGCCTTTATTATGTTGAAGTAGTTTTCTTGATGGCTTTTTAGCCAAACCTCTTTGTATTATTTTTAGTGATTGCTCTAAGGATTACAATACACATCCTTATTACCATCTATTTGGAATTAATATTTGGTCACTTTACATTTTACTCTGTACACTTGACTCTTCCCATTTCATAAATAAAAAAACTTCACAACAGTTTAATTTCATATAAACATTTTACCTGTTTTTTAAGCTATTGTTTTTATATCTTTTAATTTTTGATGAGTTATAGATCTCATCATGATATTATTATTTTTACTTTAAGCAGTTATTTTTAAGGACATTAAGAAAAGAGAAACATATAATCTTTTATATTTACTCACATATTTACCATTTATGATCCTCTTTTTTCCCTTCCTGTGGATTTTAATTTTCATCTTATGTTATTTCCGATCAGCCTGAAGGCTATCCCTTAGTATTTCTTATAGTACAGTTCAGTTGGCCACTAGTTCTCTCGTCTTTTCTTTATCTGAAAATGTCCTTATTTCATCTTATA